AACAACCCATTTCAAATCAGTTGTGGCAACAAGGTTTCTGTAATGCCAGCTTGGCCACCAAGTCTACTATGGATCTAAACACTACTGCTTTTCTTTATCATTAAGAAGTAAATACTGAAAACATCACAAATCAGCAGAAGCAAACCTACATCAAAGCCTCAATGAAATAAACTCCACATCAAGCAAAGCAGCACAGTTTCCATTCACTTTTGCAGTCAAGGTATGTGTTTGCATTGACTTTGCAATACCAGAAGAGCCTTCCACAACTCGCTACACATGCTGATGAACATCCAAGGCTCACTATCACCCTGATCCTAGGGAGAAAATCACGTTGTGAGGGGTCTAGTTCTGGCAGGAACCAGGGGTTTTGTAGGGATGTTAGAACAGATTTGCTATGAACATACCTAAGGAAAACTAAATAAAACAACAAAAACACCCCACCAATAACTTCAATCTAAAATGAAAAATTTACACAGGTATTAAGGCTGTATAATTAATAGCAGAAGAAAAATAAAAACAATTTGAAAGTACTCTTAACTCAGTTGCTTCATACATTCAGTACCGGTGTAGGCTCCGATTATAAACACTGCATTAATAAAGATGAGTAAATTTCTAGCTTAGCATTAAGCATTTAAGCCTTTGAAATACAAACCTTCCAAAGGATAATTTTCAATTCTTCATTACATGACATGGAATCAACAGTAACTCCATATATTTGCACCCATCATTTTAAAGAATGCTTTACTGCTCGCACACTTTGAATTAAAGCCTTTCAATAAATACAGGAAGAAGTAACACAACGTTTTGCAGATGGGTTTTATGACTTCCTTTTAGGCTCAAAAGTTATGATTACATCCAATTTTTGAAACAAAGTACCACGTGTAGCTGGTGGAAAAAGCAGAGAGATATTTAAGTGTTGCCAATAGGTTCATTTTTGAGTACTGCCAAATTTTCAAAAGCCTACTTCTTCCAGATTATACTATTCATACTTGCATATTACATGCATGCATTAAAATTTTGCTTTAAAATACATTTTGACCAATGTTTCAAACCACAGATTGCAGGGTACCTTAACTGTCATGTGTGACTTGGTCAGCGTTTTTCTACACCTTCTTCTAGGTGACAACTTTGAAAAATGATTCAAATATCAGATCTTGGGCTCAAATATGTAAAAACCTGTTTTAAAAATGTCTCAAATTCAAAGGTGCCATTGTTAATGAAATATTCAGAACAGGTATGAAGTAAAAAAAAAAGCTTTTCCATGAAGATTCTTTTCTTTCAAAGAAGTTTCTTTTAAACAGAAACATAACTAAAGCAAAACGGATGACTTCAGCGTTTGCTTTTCTAAGATTCATACCAGTTTTTCAACTTTTGTACTAGTATTCATGTATGCAAGTATAATGCAATTTATATGTAGAACGCAGAAGTTAATATAATTACAACTCATTCATTTTGTAGCCAAATCAGTGTTAATTAATCAGGCTAGTGTGTGAAAAGTTGCATCTCATAAAGCCAAAGCAGATGTTTTAACTTATAGTTTTAATATAGCAATCAAAGAAAAATCCAAATACTGTACAGTGAAGTGTAATATAGTACACTATATACTGTTATAATACACTATTGTTACATTACAGATAAAAAAATCAAATATAATTAGTACAGCAATCACAAATAAAACAAACCAAACTGTGCTGGGTAACAGCCAGTGCTGTGAAGATGGTATCGTTTCTATGCTAATTTATTTTTAATTCAACATGTAAAGCACTTACTGTTTAAAAAGATTTGTTTTCTGAATATATACACTATTTTAATACTTATTTATACATTTTAAATAGCATTCCCTCCTAAAAGTGCACTCTTTCATTTCTTGGCAATAATCTTCATTAAACGTAAAATAATTCTGAAAATACCACTCTTGTTTCAACCTTTTATTGCTCAACCACAGGCAAAAGGGCTCACAGGGAATCCTGCATTCTAAAGATCCTAAGCAACTTCTTCAATTTTAAGAAGCTAAACTGATATCCACAAGCAAAACAAAGAAACCACTTACTGGTTGTGGTTGGTTTTTATAATGGAAGGATCAACTTCGTATTATTATTTTACAAAAGCATGTAGATTCTGCTGTTTGAAAATGGAAGCCAAACAAACAGAGATAACAGTGGCATCTTCTCAAATCCTTCATACATTTCAGATCAAGCATCGCTCTCCTGGTTGTAAGCACACTATGAATTTTATTACCTGGCATTTTCAGCGCATTGGAAACATAGCAAGCAACTCTGCTAACCTCGTGATCATCAGAGACAACAGGTTCTACTTTTCGAAAGACTGTAAATTAAGCACTTTGGACTTGAAAGTGTGCCTGTTGTGCAGGGTTGTCAGCATACAGCCTTGTGGCACTTGTGAAGCTTCTAGAGCATTCTGTGGGAGGCAATGCCTAGCTGACATTTTGTGTCTATCAGAAGACTATTAAACTATATTGGATTCACAAAACCAACAAGACACGTTGCTGCTTTGTGACTATAGCAGTGAAGGCATCCCAAATATATTTATATTATTTCATTTGAGAAGCTGCTTTTTATTTTCCCTCACTGAAATGCAAACAATTCACAGAGAAACAGCAGTATCAAAGTCAACCTTACTAAGCAGCCAGCCATTTGAAGTAGTAAAGATCCTGCATTTGCCTGCAAAACTGATCTGCTCTCCTGGGGTTTCCTATGTACTCATCAGCATTCCAGTTCTTTCTCTTTTTTTTTTTTTTCCTTTTTTTTTGTACTGGGCCTGTATTTTCAGTAATCATCTTCCATTTAGGTTATACATACTAAGCCACAGTAAAGTTTAGGATTTTCAAATAATTCAAGCCATCTTTGCCATGAGACACTGTGTAGAAGGTGGTTGGCCCCTAGACAAGAGAGCGATCAAGGCAGGTACTCGAAAAGAATTCAGAGCCACAGCCTCTGTCCACAGGCAAGTCAGTAGCAAGAATTCAGGGTTCTTTTGAGAAAGGGACACTCTCCACGCCACTTGAGAAGTCCAATTGACACCGCTTCACATCCACAAGTCAACATTTTCCCTGCCCTTGTGCCATTTTCCTGACTCTACAGGGAAATCCAACAAGCAGATGGGTGCTCCTAAGACAGGCACACAGATTTGCCCCAACTTACATTTGCACTCACTGCTAGCAATCAAATGAAACATCTGCTCAAACTCGCACTTCAGTGTTCTTTATTTCACTTCTCTTGTACAGTAACACATCTTATTGGCGTGCAGACGAAGTTTAGCTTTACGTGAGTGTATCAAAAGTCACCTTTCTCAAAACCACTGATATTAAAATGCATGAGAACACTACGTGAAATAAGAACACTGCAAAGAAAAATGCACAACCCTGCTTTACACCAGAGGAATTCACATCAGCAGATCTTGTGATTTTGACACCATTTCACCATTCCTTTTTGAGTCCATTTTATTGTAGGAACCCAAGAGTTCTGATCTACGTAACTTGAGGGGCCCCAAGATGATGCTAAGGGTGAGTCAAACAGAGCTATTATCTGTGTCTATTTCTATTTAGATAGGAAGGAAAATGTCAAATTACTGCTGAAATGGGAAGTGTGTCAAAATTAAACCAAGCCTTTTTACACAGTAAAAGGCACACAAACTTGTGTAGTCTTACCAGAAAGGCATGAAAGAAGTAAGCATTTTCCCTTGAAATAAGGACAATGGTGCAATAAATATTTCAATTTATTTCAAACTTAAAGTTCTCTCATACACACTGCCCATATTTTTTTCAGCAGAGGAAGACTTCTTTTTCTGAAGAAAAGGTTAAAAATGTCTAAGTGATAGTTGCCTTGTCTAAAATGCAAGAGATCCAAGAGATGCCTCCCCCTTAGCCTCTCCTGACTTAAAACTCCTATGCCACTGCTGTATTTTTCTAAACCTTGCACTGACAAAGCACAAGCCTCTACTCCACATTTCCTATAGAGAAGTAGCCTTCAGACAGCTCGACTGCTTCATGGGAGACTGAATGTTTTCAGAAGTCATGGCAGGCTTCCAGTGGCCGCGTGTGCATCCCGTGCATCACTGAATGAGCCCTGCCAGTTAATCAGTGCATCAGCAAGGTCAGTTCTGGGGAGCCAAATTACTTCATACATTCCAAGCTTCCAAATTGCTAACTTACAGGTTAGCAATTTGAGATCTTAAACTTTTGCATTTATTTGTGAAAAGGTGATTCTTACATTTTACCTATAAGTAGTGTACTAAACCATAAAATATGTATTCCTTCTACCTAAAAAGTTAACCAACAGAGCCATTTTAATGTACTTTGACAAAACAGGGGCTATTGTTTAAGTGACTTGCTTCAGTCACACATTTTTACATACAAAAATAAACCCTCCGTCATGGGACGTTTTGTCATACTAACGCTTAGAACTGTTTAAGTGATTAGAAATGTAAAAAGTGAGGAGACTTTTCTGAATACAAACATGTACGATACAAACATCATTTGTGAACTGGTAAAAACCCACGTGTGCACAAACACAGACTTCAATATTTAAATGCTCTTAATTCCTTTGAAGCTGTATTAACATCTTTCATCCATTCAGTGTTATTTTACCATTAGAGGAAGCAGCAATAGTGCACTTAAATATGACTATGAAGATAGGAAGCAAAGTGCAGCATCAGATACACATTCCATCCTTAGGGAGCAAGCACGATGGCTGCTTCTTAAAAACGAGCACTGCAGGTCTGATGAACACACTACTCAAGTGGATACCAGCAATATTATCACCAATGCAGGGAAATCTACACCGCAAACTGAAGTGAGGCTAATAGAGGTGGGCAGTCTTTACAGACACTGAAACAGCACGTATTCCTCGTTTCCATGGAGTGAACAACAGTAAGCTTCCAAAAGCTCACTTATCACTGAACACTTTAGGATAAGGTATGTCAGAGAGTCGTTTCCTTCCCATAAATTGTTAATTTCTCTGAAGAGGACAGCTGTTATTTAATTTTTGCCATTACTAACCAATGCTGGTAATCAAAGCCTTTTAAAAGAAATGGATTTGCCACTGAACATTTTTTGTTTCTTGCAGTTGCCAACTTCTCTCCTCCGGTTGCATTAAAAGTCGCTCAACATCTGACCAGCTCGGTATTTGGGAGGAAATAAAAACATGCTATCACTTACTAACAGAGCACCAAAATGGTTGTGTTGGCTCAGCCAGCCATGCATAACCACGCCACATTCACTTCATCTTCATCATACGCTAAGTAGCCTTTTTTCTAACTTGCTTAAACTGACAATATGCAGAAATTAGAGAGTTTACTAAAGTTACTTATTCCAAGATTTCTGACAAGCTTATACAGCTGTATGAATGAAAAAGTTTTTAAATCAGAGGAAGTGCCAGCACAATGTAATTAAAGTACTGCATATGCTGCATTATCAAATTTAGCAGAAGTTTAGTTTTAGTTGCTCTTTGAAATGTGTAACTCATGTTTACAGTGTATTTTTGAGTGGAATTGAGTACCTGGGACATTATTAACTTTGTCATGTTTCTAGTTTTGCCTGTTCTAGCCTTTCCAGTAACCTTAAACTAGCATGGTGAGAACCTTGCATGGGCTTAAATTTTAAGACTCTTAAGGAATTAAAAATTACAAAGAATTTTCAAGAACCCACATTTACAGCAGATATTCATCTCAGTGCATTTCCTAATAACTAATTTACAGGTAACAGAGCCAGCCTGGGCAGCAGTATGGTAATATTGAAAGCTATTGCCAATCACACGCTTATCATGCACTGAATAAGATGATATAATCTTTGACATACATACAAGATTTAATAACTAATCACTTTGTGTGGCCCAGCCAATAAACATTACATTTGAACAGTAATTTATTCTACCCTTATTAGATTTTAACCTATCAAGAGTGATCCATTGGCTCAGTTGCATTAGTGATTCCTGCATCTTGACTATCCATCTCCTCAAGCTCCTCAACAGAATTTCCCTTTTGTGCTTTAGATCTCGCAGGGAATGTTGTTCCCACAGAATTCACCACGTTACCATCAGTTGATTCGGTATTCAAGTGTTCAGTACCACCTGGTGCAGAAAAGGATTCGGGTAAGCCAGCCTGAAAGCTCCCAGTTTTAGCAGCTGAACTCGCTCCCTCTACTTTTCTTTGAGACAGATCAACTGACGCTGACTGCTCTGTATTCTGATCCCGCAAATGTCTATCCATTGAAGCCTGAATAGAAGAGACCATTTCCTGCAACTTTTTTCTCTGTGCCTCAATCAAAGTGGGGTCAAGCTGCCTGCTGTCTCTCATTGTCACAACTCCCGGAGCAATTCGGATAAGCTCACTGTTACCAGAAGCAGCTGTGAATGCAGAAGGCTCAATTTTAGCAGAAGGACTGAAGTCCGTTTCTGTGCTATGCTTTCTTAAAAGTGGCGTTTCCCTGGCTCTTTGATCATGTTGTTGACTACTAGATGCAGTTCCTAGGGAATGGCCCTTTCCTTGAAATGCAGTAATGTTATGTAGTTGTTCAGATTTCTTTTTCACTACTCCACCACTACCCAGCTTCAGCATTCCGTGTGAAGGACTCGCTTCCCTGCTTCTCGAAGTAGCTTCTGCTCGCACTTGACTTAAGGCCTCTTTCACCAACTCTTCAACATCGGGACCAATAGGAAAGTGCCCAGCAGCATCCACACACAGCTCCAATCTGTCTTCTGCTGCATTGTACACAAAGTTTTTACCAGGCAGATGTGGAAAAGTACAGTGCTTGCCATCAGCCAAACCTATGAAGACAGAAGAAGTTATTCAAAGTGCTAACATATTTTAAGGCATGCTCTAAATACACAGTAATTATTGTATTTAAACTTATTGCATCGAGTATGTGAAAGCAAACATACTGAAGCTTATACTGTGAGAGAACAGTAATTTAGGCTTGTATGCCATATGATAGCAATCACAGTATAGCCCTAAGAGGCTGCTGCCTCCTATGTTGATTTTAATGAAGGGACAGAACTGTAGTATTACTAAATAAAATAACCATCTTGCTGGGACTTGCAGTACTAATACAACAGAAGTTAAATAAATAGTATATGCTTGCAGTAACACAAAGCAAGCCAAACCCCATTGCTACCACCCCCACCCCAAAACCACACAAAAAACAAACAATCAATCATAAAGAACCCCAGAAAACTGCCAAAGAGCACATTTCAAATCTCTGTCTACCTGGAGAAGTACTACTTAAGGCCACTTCCATACTAGTTAGAGTTGTAGTAGGATGTCAGGGTGAACCTGCTGCTAGGCCTGAGGAATTTCAAATTCACTATTTGTCTTCTTATCAGAAAGGAAGTGTTGCTAGATAAACAAAAGTGTTTCAAGCTTGCTACGCTTAGTAGTCCTGGAGATTATAGCTATTAACCTTTACAAAACAAACATGAGGCATCATATTTTTGATCTGGTGGTTGTTTGACTGTCCCACTTACAACTTGACTGATCTGCTAAAACTGAGAGTTCACTCTGAGGTTGCTCTGTGTCAAAAATGGTCAACATATGGTTTTCCAGTTTAATGTCACAAAATACAAAAATAACTCTTTCAGCTCTGTCCTATAAGGTGACAACGTGCTCTGAGTTAAAAGCTATCTGCAGAATAAAACCTGGCTGCAGCAACTCTCTTCAGTGGTATCAGCTATGCAAGGAGAGCTACAATTTAAAAAAGCTACTTCTAAAAAAGTGCCAGGAATAGGTAAATTAATGTGATTTTCCTTCACATTCTCTTACAATTCTTGAAGAAAAACACCAGAAGTTATGCAGAAGGGAAGAAACATAACAAGCAAATCCGATTTCTGTGTTATCAAATACAATACTGTTAAAATAAGTATTCTGGGCATCAACAAAAAAGGTCAATCTGACATGTTACTGAACTGTTGTTATACTGATGAACCAACTGACCAATCTTACTCATCCTCCACAGCTTCTGATTCACACACTTTTACAGCTGCAAAGAATCTACAGATAAGATTGCATTTCTAGAACTTGAGACACGTAGCTCCTCTTTCTTTACACATCCATGGGAACAAATAACCAAACAGCCAAAACACACCCAGAACAAGATTGAACCCAATCTATCCATCTAACTTAGCCTCAAGTAGGTATTTTAACTATATAATTTACCAGCTCAACTTTCATTTGCAAAAGAGCTGTAACAGCTTCTGTGATAGACCCAAACTGCCTCTGAAATGTCAATCCTGAAGTCTCAAAATGAGATCTTAAAAAAGATCTACTAAATTGAATTTCAATTGATTATCAGTACCTACACATGATAGAAAGCTTTGTTCAAAGTGTCCAGTATAATAGTTGCACTGCTGTGTAACTATTACAAATAGTTAAGGAGCTTCTTTAAGTGGAAAAAAATAGATTGTTGCACACTGTAACTGTTTAACATAGAAATTTCATAGTTCATAAATGCTAAAACCATACATGTTAAAATCTGTTCTATTACCCAGGCTAATAATTCAGTGAGAGGCAGTGGGCACTGAGTATACCACACATTTTAATTACTGCAAACAGAATAGAAATTACATGGTAAAATACCTATTTCCATAAACAATAAAGATTAAGTTAGGGTTGACAAAACTGTCTAAGAAGAAAGCAAACAGTACAAAATCAGCAAAGGAATCATCATTATAAGTGAAACCAAAAGAGCTAAACTATGAAAGCAAAGACTTCAATCAGAAAATAAACTTTAAATGAGAGGAAATAACTGAATAGTACTTTCAGGTGGTTTTGTAGGTAGTATTTGTAAAGCCACCTGAAAATCAAACATACTTTTAACTACTTGCTCAGTTATTCTGCATGTAGTCCAAGATGTGACATTTATCAATGCAAGAAAAGGATGGACAGCTTTGCTTCTGAGAAAATTCTAGCAATACGAAAGACAAATTTAACCAATCATTTAAATTTAAAACATGCAGTACCCCTGTATATAGTATCTACTAAGAAGCATGCTAGAATGGTGAACTGTTTATCCAGTAATTGTTTTAAAGTAGAACAGAAACGGGTCCTATGATCCAGCCAGTTTGATCTTTCCATTAAAAAAAAAAGTCAGTTGAGTTACTGAAGTTGTTTGTACCATCCATGAAGTTTAAATGCAGATGTATGGTTGTAGAGAAAATTTCAGAAAATAAGAGATTTACGTTAAATTAACTTGTCTTAGTCAGATTTCCTATTCTTGGGCACTCTGAGGGAGCATAAGGAGTTTTACAATATTATGAAAATGAAAATATACCATGATCATAAAATGAAAATGTACCATGGTAATAAAATAAAAATATATTTATGCCTACAAGTAACTCAATACCAATTTACAATTCTAAAGATCTGAAAACAGGAAAAAAGGGATGAAACAAAAAAATACCTGTCGTTTTCTTCATTATGCTGTAGAATACTCCACCTTGCTGAAACAACTGAGGAAGCCCCTTTGCATAAGACCAAACATCTTCTCCTGTAAAAATCAAACACAATTATTAGAATTAAACAGCCATATTTCGACATTCTAGACAATGGCTGAAAATGTAACTCCTTGAATTCAAAGCTGAATCCTCACTCTCTTCTATGCAATTAAAAATTTGAATTTTTACTGCAAATTTACAGAACAGGAGCCCAGGACATTTCCTTTCAAGAAAACAAATCCACCATATCCTACATGTTCTAGTACAAAGGCTCCCAAATTTTATTTGATCCAAGCTGCGGCTCCTGGTTCTTTGCCAGGCCTTACACACAAGTCCCCATTCCCCTCCTACCCATGCTTTCAACAGAAAGCTAGGAAATGACTAACACACTTCCAAAATTCAAGCACATACCCTTATACATTAAAACCTCAATTCTGTATCCCTACACCTTCTCAAAAAATCTGATGTTCACAGATTTCACAGCTGCCACACAGCAGACTTTATAGTGTAGCCGAGATACAACCGTCCACACAAGCAGCTGCGTAGAAGCTGTGTCTGTACCTGGCTGTTCTTGAGAGTTAGATGCGAAATACCGACTGTGAGAGGCCCCAGCAGTCCTTTATAACTGGCATTTTTCAAAGACGCCAAAAATGGCATTGAAATGTGACAACTTTAAATGTCACTGAGAGGGGAGGATAAAAAAACCTAGACTATATAAGGAAAGGAATATAAAGAACATAAAAAATGGGTTACAATGACAGAATATCAGTGACCTAACAGCACCTGCTAAAGCAGTCAGATCTGCATTTTTACCTATACCTTTTCCTCATTTTGCTAACCACTTACCTGCTTCAGAGGAGTGACATGTGACGAAGCTGTCAAGGTAGTGCAAACAGAAAGTACTGATAAATTCCATTCTCCTGATGTGGAAACAACTACTGTGCATGTCCATTATGAGAAAAAAATTGCTTTTCCCACTCTATATCAAACATTTAGGAACATGTTGGTATACTTTAAATAGAAATTGCACCCTTCTTTAGGCATCAAAATCCCAATAACCATGTCTCTCAATTTTCTATTAAATTTGGAGAATGTTAACAAAGTTAACTGGATGCACCTACTACTTGGTACAGAGATTGCTGGAATGTATGTGGCTGTAAAATACTACCCACCAATATTTTTTTTGCTTGCTTTCAAGAGCAAAATAAAAGTAAAAGAGGTTATTTTTAATAGGTACCACATACTGAATACAGGGCTCATCTGAATTCCTCCCTGCATTTCTTTACTGCAGATCTGACAAGGTAACTGTGGTTGCTCTCCTATCCCACCTGCCTCAGATGAGAAATGTTTCACTCTCAGGACAGTGGCATTATGCACTAAATTATGCTTTGAAACCCTTCAAACCACTCTCTGAATTTCTGTTTCCCTTCCCCGACAGGCACGGGACTCCGTACGCTCCCCTGCTCGTCTGTCGCCCCACCAGAAGGACTCTGTCGCTCATCTCTCCACTTCAGGTGTTACTCAAGTCCCCATTCTCTATAAAAAGGTACAGCGCATTTTTATCGAGTTTTGTCTTTAAAGACAGGAGACATACATAATCTGATTCATTTAAAATACATTCCCTTGAATGTGCATTGCATTCATTTGCACATCAAGCTCACAGATTTGGCCTTCACTTCTTAGCAAGAATGTCCAAGTAACACCAACCACTCATCTTTTTACTTTGTCCTGATAACTCTTCTCTACTAACTTGCTAATACATTTGAAGTTCCTCTCCAGTTCTCATTGACTCACTAAAATAGAATAGTAATTTAAAAGGAGCATTCTCTTTTCCTCCCCACTATTGCCACCACTCTCCCTCTTCTTCAAACAGCCCCATGGAAAGAGAACAATTACTGCTAAGAACACTCATGTTTTAGCTATTTCAAGAGGTGTTTGCTGCTACCCTGCATCCCTATCCTCGTTTACATTTTGAAATACACATCCCTGTATATCAGTGGCTCCAGAGCATCACTGCTGTGGCTCTTCATTTTCCCCCAAGCAGCAGCAAGCTGAAGTCTTCCTGATGGTTTAAATACTGCCCACAGAAGTCAAAATAACCACTACACTGATAAGTCATCCAATACTGCTGCATCTAGCAATCCATTCTTATTTGAAGGATTCCCTTCCCTTCCACAAGATAACCACAAGGCTTTTAGAAGAGGCCCAGTTTTACACATTAGTGGCATTCTCCAAGGAAATATTCCCTAATTACTCCAGGCATGACTTTTCTAGCCTTGCACCAGAGAAGCATCGTTGTTTAGACAGCCTTTTATGCAACACTAGCAAGGACTGCATGCAGAGAAGTATGGAAAGCAGGGCTCACAAAACAAAAGCATCAGCCACTGAAAGAAATACAAACTAACTATGCTGTTTTGATAAAGAGATCTCAGACTGGAACAGCAAAAAAAGCCACAATTACAACTGGACTTTCCCAGATCACAGGAACTAGTGTGTGTGACTCAACTGAACTATGTTTGAGGTTTGCACATTTTGGTTGCTAGTTGGGTTTTACTGTTTGTTTTGGTTTTGTTTACCATGGGAGTAAGATGTTTATAGGTCACAAGTTAATATGGGTGATGATTTAGCTAGATTAAAAACTCCCTCAAGACACTACATTTATCAAAAATATGTTCTCCACACTATTCCCACTTCAGTACACGCTCCCTCAGAGAAGACCTCAGCCCCACAACATTAAGGTATGGCAATAAATGAAGCCTCTCCTACCCACAAGAATGCCACTGCTGAAAAAGAGGAGGTGCAGGCTAACCCATGTCAGAGGAAGCCCAAGACCACCACTGCATACAGCAGAGAGAACACATAGAAGTGCAAAACAAACTGAAAGCTCAGTTGATAAATATGGATTACAGGGAACTACATTTGGCTTAAAAACAAGCTGTTTAAATCCAAGCAAATCCTGACATCAATTACTACATTTAATTTAAACCTAGCTATTTTGATTTCTTCTGTGCTGACAAATTCATTAATGCAAGACAAACCAAACAAAATAGATTCATAATTGGCTTCATGTATCCAGAGTGCTTCTGCATGGGTGCATATAAAATAAATTTTAAAATATAATGTCTTAACTATGTTAAATTAAGATTCTTTTAGTCATTTCCTTATAGAATTCTGTATTTTAAGCTGAACAAAAATAAGCGAGAAAACATATTATGAATTATTTTTTGTGAAGTTAAATACTCCAGAAATTACAGTATCTAATTTCCCAAGGCTTATTTTTAAATGTTATACATAAAAAATAAAGCTGGCCTAAAATTTTAATGAGTTAACTAGCTGAGACCAGAAAAGAAAAATTCTAGTAACTGAAATATAAAAGCAGCATCAAGTCAGCCTAAACGAGACCCTGTATGAAAGAAAAGTTTTTAAGCATCCAGAATGAATAGTTCTAGATGTTTGAAGACACATTTTCACTGGGGAAGAAAAAAAAAGAAAATTAAAAAAAGCAGAGCTTGTCTAGCCCAGAGAGCTGTTTCAAGAGCATCTTCCCTCTACCGGTTCTAATCTGACTGTATCAGATGAATGCTTTTAGGAGAACATAGTTGCAGCAAGAGCACACAGGATAAGCTGACTCTCAGAACTTGGCAGCTTTGGGTTTTAGCATTACAGAAACATAACCGAGAAACACCAAGGCTTCTTGGCCCAGAAAGGCTGAATATACCACCCTGAGGAACTGCCACCCCAATACTCTAAAAAAGCCAAAGGATTTAGGAAGTTTCTTAGAGTTTGCTTCGCCATTGAAAAATTACAATTTTAAGTAGTCAACTGTCTAGAATTTTTTTCCACAAGTATCTTTGAAGGAAAATTAAGCCCTGATGAGAACAGTGATTATATAAAAATAGCAACTTATTCAATTGCTGCATAAGTTGTTATAATCGGTTGGTTTATAATCTGCTGACACTTTTACTTCTATTAGTATTGCAAATGGATGCAGTCAGAGAAGGGTGAGGTAAATTCTATTGTAATCTGTGCTTCAAAAGCAAAGTCTAATAGCAATGAGAGTCAAAGACAAACATTGATTCTTGAATACAAGATCAGCTCACAGTTTATAAATACTTCTTAAAAAAAAAAAGACACAAAATACTGAAGTCACTGTGATACAAAAAAAAACAAACCTCTGAGGTTCTTCAAAAGTAAGCAAATAACTACATTTTCAGGAGTATTTCCTGAAAACAGGAAAGCACTCTCTTGAGTTTCATCTCAAAATTAAGACCGCTTTTAAACCTAACCTTTTCCTGCACTTTGGAACGGCGGTGTAAATGTCAGCGTGACGAGGTGGGCAGTGATTCAGCACGCGAATCACTGCGAGAGACAGGGGAGTAAGCCATCGGGCTTGGAAAAGAATCAAAGTCCTGCATGATGAACTTCTGACATCCCACTCTGCGATTATGTAATTGTTTCAGCTCTAAAACATCACATGCTTTAGCCACACCAAATCCCTCCAGCAAAAGAGAAGGCTCCCACAAAAAAAACCTGTAAACATGACTATTCAACTGGTTCATGGAGCCAAATGTATGATAATTACTGCTCTACTTCCTGCCAGTAAGCAGCAAGAACGATGAAACCTGATGAAGAAGTACACAAAACGAAGGTCCAAGTCTCCTGAGTCCAAATATGAAATGAAAACCGCAGGCACCTGAGAAAAGTCCTTTCATTAACAGTTAGTCAGATTTATATGACTGACAATTTATAGGCACAGCTTTGCAACTCTATGTCCACCTTTGGGATTCAAATCTGCCTTTAACTTCTTTCAGTTTCTCCTCCATTTACATTCTGAAATAATGCTCTTCACAGCTCTTTACAAAGGCCAGATCTTCACTTAAAATTAGCAGATTAGCTAAGGCTACAATATTGTGTTTATTTGTTTAAACCAACACAACTCCCTGTGGGGAGAAATGCCAGGACTTTATCCTACTACAAAGGTGACAAGTTGGTCCTCGAACTTCCACCAAGCAGACATTCAGCATCCCCTTCTCACCTCTGCTCTGAATTTACTTCCTGAGACCTGAGGGAGATGTAGGGGAAAAAAGAGAGCACGTAGCTCACACACATCCACATCCGATGTGTGTCTAATGAACAAGAAAAACAAATAGAGAGACAGGCACAAGAGGAAATGCAACAACTTCCAAACAGCAAATTTAAAAAGAGGACTTTATAGCAAAGGGAGAACAAGTATCTTGTATATACATTTTAAGAAGTCATGACACTCAACAAATCACTGACAGCATGTTAAATGTTCTTCTAATTGAGAAGTAAGGGAACTAACCTTCTCCATGGTTACAGAAAAGAAAAAAATGTATGTAACTACAGTTTGTAAAATGTTATCTTCTACTTAAAAATACGATTTTAAAGTATAATTTGAAGTCAGCCTTACCCATTAGCGTTGCTAGAAGACAGAGAGAATACATCTCCTTATCGACTTGCTCTTGCAGCTCCTTCGATGAGATTTTACTCGTCACAGCAACGTCTTCATGCTTCACGGCATGGGCCGAGCGTGCTGAAGCAGCCTGCCTGCCTTCCTCCTTACCTTTCAGGATTTCGATCGCAATCCTGTCACCATGCTGCAAAGGAACAGGTTCGTTTTCCATGCCTTCTTTGGGAGGCAGAAGCTCTTTAGGAGGAAAGCCATAGCGAATACATTGCAAATACGGAGGAATATTAAATTCTCTCGCTATGCTTTCCTGTAGTTCCAGGAAGGTGGTCGTGCACTTCAGGGTAAGCATTGACTGCCTCCCGTCATTTGTGGTTATTCGGATTTTCTTTTCTTTCGTAGATGTTGGAGAATATGGGGTTTTTGTTGGTGTAGCAGGTGCAGATGATGGCCCCTCCCGAACAGCTCCAGGGGAAGCAGTCCTAGGTTGCCCTTTATGCTCTTGTTTCAATTTTTCACTTTTCCGTTTTTGCATTACGGAAGCCTGGTCTGCAATGTTCTGCTGAATAGTTCTTTCAGCTTTGCTCATATTCAACTCCTCCTTGTGCAAAGTTTTTGTCTTCTGTCCAGTCAAAATTATTTTGGTTGGAAGTTGCGACTCTAACTCTTGTCCTTGCTGTACGTCGTCAGCTCTTTGGGCGTGAGCACCATCGATATTTACAGGGGTATAATCATCGGGGTTCTTTTTGGCAGTTTGATGCAATATTGTGTTGACAACTTTCTGAACAAGAATCTCACTACCAAACTCACCAGGGAAGTGCTTGGTAACGAGTTTCATGGCGACGTCATACACATTGCTGTTCAGAGAAGTGTCACTTTCATACTGGAACCAGTAGACGGTCTCTCTCACCACTCTTCCACCCCACTCTAGAGTAATAGGAAAAGCTTCAGGGAGATTATCATATTCTTTACCTTCCCAGTAGTGCTTGAATCCACAGCCGCATTTGCCACCTGCAGACCTAGTATTAGTTCTGTCTCCATCCAAGTATGAAACAGATCCATCTTCTCTGACACGACGCACTAAGTTACTGTGACACCAGTTACAAGCAGTCAAACTACTCAGGCTGTAGTCTGGTACCAGCACATCCTTTGCGGGGTTGTAAGAACACACCAAACTGTTCAGGGGAAAACTGTAATTTTTGTCAGGCCTTAGCTGGCCATGGGTGTTTTTTGCCAGGTTATAGAGTTTCCCCCCAGGAGCCAGCCACTCTGGAGGAACGTGATGTTCTGAAAGGGCCCCGCAAATGAGGCACCTGTGAAGGCGGTTGTCCACCACTGCTTTTTTGGCAGCTGCAGTGACTTCTTCAGGCTGGACTCCTATTACACCAGTCCTTCTGTAGAAATACTGATGTACATCAGCTACAAGACTGGGATGGATACCATGTTTACTCATGAAAACCTCCTCCATGGCAGCAACGAGCCTCATCAAGTACTTATCTTGCAAACTTCTGTCCCCTCCAATAACACAACCACCGTCCTCCTCTAACTTGATGTACTTTTTGATGAGGTCTTGAGGAACCCCCCAGGCTTTAGGAAGTAGCTTCCTAGGCAGTTTAGGTAAAGCAGCACCTTTTATTCCAACTAGAGGAATATAATGGTTACGTCCTGAGCTACTCCACGCAATGCAGATCGGCTTGTTCAACATGCCATCTCTTCCCATGCATTTTTCTAGAGGTACCAGACCAGGGAGGAACGTCGCTGAGTAATCTCCAGAGCTTCGCATTCCACTCAAGGAGTCTAACAGGATGATAGGCCGGTGAAGCACATTGGCCAGACCAAAGATATGAATATTCCTAAGGCCCATTGGCACACCTTCTGGAGGAACAAACAAAGGGTCACATTCATTGATAATGTCTTCCCACTCTGCTGCATCAATAAAGTCGTGGAAAAGCGCCTTGTAGTGACTCAGATTCTCCTCAAAATGCTTCTTTAGATTCTCTCGCAGAGCATGCCAGAACAGTTCCCTGCCAACAAGTGCCCGCGAGACAGCATGGACCAGGCAGTGGCCATCTCCATCCACATGGACAGGAATGAGGCACTCCTGACTGTTGTTTGCCTTCTTGATGTCTTCCAGGGTGTCATGCAGGTAGATGAGGCTGCCAGAGCGGTCCTTTCCATAACCGATGGTTTCAACGTGCTCGGGCTCAATAAGGAAGGCGCGATCACCCAAGAGGGAGCAGTCGAAGATGTCTCCTTGGTTCATCTCTGTGAGGAGCTTGGCTTTGCCAGTTTGCTTATCCATACCGTAGCGGGCCAGGATAGGGGCCAGGAGCTTGCAGTGGTAGTTGGAGAGGCCCATGACTTTGAC